GAAAGTGCTCCAAGAGCATATGAGTTGAAGCAGTCACTCACCATCACAAGACAAGAAGGAACATCGGTTTCAGCTTACTACACCAAGCTGCGGGGACTGTGGGATGAGATCCAGACCATATCACCTTTGCCACGCTGTTCATGCTCCAACTGCACCTGTGATATTGGCAAAAGGCTTAATGAGTTCAAAGAAAAAGAAAAGCTCTACGAGTTTCTCATGGGCCTTGACAGTGAGTACTCTACAATCAAAACACAAATCCTTGCCATGAAACCCACACCCTCTTTAGGAACCGTATATCACTTGGTGGCTGAGGACGAACAACAAAGGGCAGTCTCGGCATCCAAGAAGACAAGCACAGAGGCTGCAGCTTTTCAGACCTACACTCCAGGAAAGAAAGAAATCACTGCAGATTTCAGCCAACAAAGGAAGAAGTCTGCATCAAAAGACATCAAGAAGGTCACAGGAGAAGAGGTAGAGCACTGCAACCACTGTGGTAAGAATGGTCACAACAGAGACGGATGTTTCAAAAGAATCGGGTATCCCGATTGGTGGCCAAATAAGGCGAAACAAGAAAAGAATAAAACGAAGGCAGCGTTCGTTGATTCAGGAATTAGTCCTATTCCAGGTCTATCGAATGGGCAATACCAGAACCTGATCAAACATTTCTCTAAAGATGGGTCAAACAGCAACACCACACCCACAGTAAACATGGCTGGTAAGGTTGAGATTGATGATTCATGGGTCGTTGACTCTGGTGCTACTGAACATATAACATATAAACAAGATTTGCTAGAAAACAAAACAAGAAATCCATTGGAACCATCAGTTACAATACCCAATGGAGATCTTGTTTCCGTTGATGGAAAAGGAAATTGCACTTTACAGAATGGAATCAAAATTGAAGGAGTCTTGCACATTCCACAATTCAATTGCAATTTATTATCAGTTAGTCGACTGACTAGAGATTTACAATGTGCCATAACCTTTCTTCCTGATTTGTGCTACATGCAGGACTTACACTCGAAGAACTTGATTGGCGCGGGTGAGTGCAAAGGTGGTCTTTACCGAATGGGCTTGGCAACAGAAAGGAAGAGTGCTATGATGACAACTGTTGATGTTGAGCTGTGGCATAAGAGGTTGGGTCATGCCTCCGAATCAAAGTTGAGCCAAGTCGATTTTTTGGAAAATCATTCTAGGAAATTAAAGGAAAGAGTTTGTGATTCTTGTGTAAAAGCTAAACATACTAGGCTTCCATTTACTCTTAGTTCAATAAAAACAAATAGTTGTTTTGATTTGTTACATGTTGATGTTTGGGGTAAGTATCGTACTCCTTCGATTTCTGGTGCTTCTTATTTCCTTACCATCGTAGACGATTTCAGTAGGGCTGTTTGGGTTTATCTTCTTAAACACAAGAATGAAGCAAGCAGCTATTTAATTGATTTTCACAACATGGTGAAAACGCAATTTGAAAAACAAACCAAGCGAATAAGAGCAGATAATGGTGGTGAATTCATATCAGGCTCCATGAGAGATTTTTATGCCAAGGAAGGAATCATATTGGAAACCACATGTCCACATACCCCACAACAAAACGGGGTTGTGGAACGAAAGCATAGACACATTCTTGAGATCGCAAGAGCGTTGAAGTTTGAGGCCAATGTGCCAATCAAGTTTTGGGGAGAGTGTGTTCTCACAGCCACGTACATTATCAATAGATTACCCTCAAAGGTCATTAAACATAAGACCCCATATGAAGTCCTGTTTGGACAAAAACCTAATTATGACCACATGAAAGTCTTCGGATGTTTAGTTTATGCAAGAAACACGGAAACCAAGGGAGATAAGTTTGAAGCGAGGGGGAGACCAGGCATGTTCATAGGATATCCACAAGGCAAAAAAGGATATCGAATATTTGACCTTACCGATAAGAAGATCATTGTCTCTAGAGACATTAAGTTTGTAGAAAATGTTTTTCCTTTCTCTGATAATATAGAAAGGAACAATGGTGAAGCAGGGCTCGATGATTTTCTAAGCAACACTGTCGAAGAAAGTGATGAAATAACACGAAGAGAGGCTGATCAAGGTTTACTAAATGAACCTGATTTAGACTCGGGTACATGTAATGAGAACGAGACCGCCATTGATCTAAACCCGTCTGAAGATCAGGCAGATCATGTTACAGAAGACACAGTTGATCAAATGCAACCCACTGAAGAACACAGAGATAAAAGAAGCAGGTCTAGACCCAAATATCTCGATGACTTCATTGTGGACTTGCCATCTTCGGTAGACCATGCAGCACCCACCGCCAGTCAACAATCTTCGACGGTACATCCCATAGTTAATTTTTTGTCTTATGATCAGTTTAGCGATTCGCACAAAGCCTTTTTAACTTCAATTAGCTCAAACCATGAGCCGAAACATTTTAATCAAGCCGTGCAGGATGTTAAGTGGAGAGAAGCAATGCAAAAAGAGGTAAACGCTCTTGAAGAAAATGGAACTTGGTCACTTGAGGAGTTACCAAAAGGAAAGCGTGCTATAGACTCCAAATGGGTCTATAAGATTAAATACAAACCAAATGGCGAAGTTGAGAGATACAAGGCACGACTTGTTGCAAAAGGCTTCACTCAGTTAGAAGGGGTAGACTTTCATGACACTTTTGCTCCGGTGGCGAAACTTGTTACTGTCCGAACTTTACTTGCTGTAGCTGTAAAAAGAGACTGGATCATGCATCAACTTGATGTCAACAATGCATTTCTGCATGGAGATCTAGATGAGGAGGTGTACATGAGGATACCCCAAGGTTTTAGCAAAGAAGGTGATACTAGAGTATGCCGGTTACGTAAATCTCTTTATGGTCTCAGGCAAGCATCACGTAATTGGTATCACAAATTCACAACGGCTTTGCTCGCAATTAACTTCAAACAATCTCATGCGGATCATTCACTTTTCATATACAAGCAACAGGGAAGTTTTGTTGCAGCTCTTATATATGTGGACGATGTCGTTATTGTTGGGAATGATGCTTCTAAGATACAAGAAACAAAATTGTATCTAGACAAAATGTTTAGCATCAAAGATCTAGGCCCATTGAAGTATTTTCTTGGACTAGAGGTTGCTCGGACTACGGATGGTTTGGTTTTGAGTCAACGTAAGTATACTTTAGATATTCTTAAAGACAGTGGGATGCAAGGTTGTCGACCTTGTAGCTTTCCGATGGAGCAAAATCTGAAACTAGATCAATGCAAGGATAGTCCTGCTATTGATGCTAGTCAATACCGACGTTTAATTGGAAGACTACTTTATTTACAAGCAACTCGGCCGGACATAGCTTATCCAGTAAACATTCTGAGTCAATTTGTTTCCGATCCAAGGCAAACACACTTGAACTCAGTGCACCGAATTTTACGATATTTAAAGGCAACACCAGGTCAGGGAATATTTTTTCCAAAAGGTGGAGGAATGAATCTTGCGACTTATTGTGATGCAGATTGGCTTGGTTGTCCTGCCACCAGGCGTTCTCGTACCGGGTATTTGATTCTACTTGGAGGTGCGCCCATCTCCTGGAAAACCAAAAAGCAGTCCGTTGTTTCGCGTTCTTCAGCAGAGGCAGAGTATCGAGCCATGGCAACGTCTGTTAGTGAGACTTTGTGGCTACGTTGGTTATTGAAACACTTGGGAGCTCCTCCTGTCGGTCCCACACCTTTGTTTTGTGACAATCAAGCAGCAAGGCACATAGCTAATAATCCTGTGTTCCATGAACGAACTAAGCATGTTGAAATGGATTGTTATTTTGTCCGTGAACGAGTTGAGTCCAAAGAGGTTTGTCCGATGCATGTTCACACTTCACATCAGGTTGCTGATTTATTTACTAAGGCTTTAGGTTCCCAACGTCTTCATTTTTTGCTTAGCAAGTTGGGCATTCGGAACTTACATGCTCCAACTTGAGGGGGAGTAAAGGAATTTGAAGAGTTATCGTCTCCTGGAATATCTAATTTATCCATTAGCTAGTTGTTATCTTTATCCATTAGCTAGTTGTTATCTTTATCTTATTGTTGATCAAGAACTCGTTGTATATAAACCATTTGATAGTTGAATGAAACGTAACTTTAAAACCACTAAAATTTTCAAAATAATTATATATAATATTTATTATTTAATGATTAGAAAATCTATTTATATTCTCGGAAAGAGATGTCTTTTAGATGAGTTCTTAAAGTCTCTTTGCCACTCTTGAACCATTGCACAAAAGCAGATGGGATGAGTTAAAAAGTCATCACATGATCCTCATAAAAAAAAGTAGATAGTCATTATTGATAAAGTTAAAAATCTGTTTCATGGTTTTAATTATAGATATGTATATATAGATCAAATATAGCTGACTTTTATATTGAAATGTCGACGGATTTGCCTTCTTACGCAACATATGTAATTTAGGTAAACTAAGTGTAAAAGAAACAACCTCAAGTTTAAAACCGCGTCAAAAAACTATACGAAGTTTAGTTATGTGGTTTAAAATCGAATAAAATAACACTGCGTTGAGAGTAACCGAAAAATCGTACCACTTAAAAACCGCACCTTTCGATTTATGTAAATATACAAAACCATATTTGTTGTTTGCGGTTCAGTTTTAATAAAAGAAAAAAACCATACCAAACCGCACCATGCTTACCCTATTTTATTATTGTTTGTCTTTTTAGTACGACCAATACTCCACTTTGTAGAATCAAAATAAAGAGATGCGTGTAAACATACGTATACTTTATCTTCTCGGATTATACAATATACTTGCAACAAACAATTTAAATCATCAAAATTGTTTTAAACTTTTTTCAACATATATATAATTTCACTAGAAATGTCATCCAAAAATCTCCATATATCAATATTATACGTCGCAGTCACAAAATAAATGTATCTACAAATAATAAATGAGTGTACAATTAAAATAGAAAAAAGACTTAAAATACTCTAAAAATTGGGTAAGAATTAAGAAAACATTATTGTATGCAAACCCAAATGCCTTCACTTGGAACGCCTTGATAGACCACAAATAAAATGTAATTGCCCGGCGGAGCAACATTAACAGATCCCGGTGTTATCACACTTACTTCGTAGTGAGATTCCCCGACTGCTACTGTGGTGTTTCCAGTATCTAGTATCAACAGCCTTTGACTCATGGAAAATGAATGTGTGTTAAACGGTGGAGCCACCATTGTGACCGAGACCAAATTTGGATCCACGGGGCATAAAACATTGAACCGGATGAACATCCGTTCACTGTGATGGATCATGGTTCTTGGTGAGATTATAGATGGGCGTAATTTTGATGAGCTTGGATCCAAATAAGCCGGTGAAAATGCCTCCAAGCTTAATTCAGTAGGATAAAGTACGTCGGCAAACTCATATTTATCATGTGGGTTACTGCCGCCTACAAGAACCCGACCATCTCGAAGCAGAATAGCAGTCGAATGGTACATTCGAGGTATGGTGGTTGCTTTCTGCAACTCGAACCGAGATCCAATTCGATTGTTAGGCTGATAGATTACCGGGCATAAAACCGGGTCCCGCCCTAGTTCCCAACCCGCAACTCCCGCGGACCCACCATTGATTATCAAAACGTCACCGTTTGGTAATAGTAACATATCACCCATGACACGTGCTAAAGGCATGGTTTCCATGACCCATTGTGGATTCGGGTCGGATATTTTTATCCGACCGCAAGTATCCAAAGCACCATCAAATTTCCCATTATTTGCATTAACAAAAGCATCCTTAGGTGCACCCCCACAGATTAAAACTTCAACATCACTTGCTTTCCCTTGTACAACACGCAATGGGAGTAGTACCGCAGAACCGGTGCTCGGGTAATTCCTCGGGTCGCCACCGGGTATTGTTGGGTAAGTCTTGACAACTTGATTCCGAACATAATCGAATAAAATAGCGCGATCGTTCGCGTAAATGAAAAAATGTCCGTCTGTGTTTAAAAACACAAACGGGTATAAATTATTTTCGATATTTGGTTCATTTGTCTGAACCAAAAACGGCAAGCTAGGAGCATTCTCGGTTGACGAGGTCTTAGGGTAAAATTCGTAATTAAATGACTGACGGCCGCCAATGATGATTTGGCGGCCGTCAGGCAGTATGTGATTGGTGGCGTACCATCTTGATTGACTCAGTCCAGATTGTATCTCCTGCCAGTCACAGTTGTCACATGATTTATAAACACGGACAACCCGATCTCCTTCATATGTTCCACCCGTCTGGACTAGTGTCCCATCGGGCATTAATGTCCCCGATGAACACCAGACGTCAGTGAGGACCATGAGTGGACGGATAGAGTTATGGAGGACATCATACTCAACGGAGTGGGCGGAGCAGTCGGTGGATTTGGGGCGGCATTTACCATCCCGGAGAGAGATGTTGGAGGTGCCGAAATCGGTGCGGTCGTATATGACTACACGGTCGCTTGGGAGGAGTTGCATGTGCATGGCGGAGATGCCAATGGTTGGGAGGAGGAGGGACCATGATCCACCGGAGGTAGCTGGACATGGTGGCACATGGAGGAGGAAGAGGAGTAGAAGCAGATGAGAGACAGGAGAGGGGAAAGCCATTTGTTACCCCTAAATTACCAATTGGTGGGTTTATATAGAATATGCGGCGGTGTAAAGTGTAAAGTGTAAAGTGTTTCCACCGGTAACCCGTAACCACCGTCTAACACTTCTGTGGCTAGCTAATAGTTATCTCTATATATGAATCTCTTTCTATTTATTTTAGTGGAAGTATATTGAAAAGTTTCTAACTTTGAAGAACATACACCATGGCTGTTTTTTAAGCTGTAGTGATTCGAACATTGCACGTGCATGCATGCCTAATATTTGAGGTTGATGTCGAGGAAACCATACTCGTTGACGTTTTTTACTTCTTGCTTTTTTTACTTTACAGCCATAAGCATAATGTTATACAAACTACTATTTGTATGAATGTTAAAATAAATGGCTAATAAAATCCATATTTTGACTTTTTGATTAGTTACAAAGTTTATAATTATCTTGATTACTAACTATATATAATATATTTAATTAAGCATTTGGTTTTATTTATTCTCCAATTAATTGTACAAAGATCAATTTCATTATAATAACATTTCAGGTCTCATACAGATAAAGTTTATAATTATGTTGAGGATTTGATGTCATATATCACATGTATAGAAAATAAAATAAATAAGTAGGACAACGACAGCCTACAAAAAGCTAATATATATTCCGAGGAAGATTACAAAAAAGGAAAAAATCATGTGCGGTGGCATCCATCATTCCATTGTAGGAAAGTGTACGTTTTTTTTGTGGAAGCAATGGAATGGAATATGTTGAATAGCTTCCCTCTGAATAGAGAATTGTGTGCTTATTCTGGTGATGAAAGCTTTCGGTGATTCTGGCACAGCTCTAAAGGAACAATAAGTCCTCCCACTTGTTCACCTTCTTACCCAAAAAACCCAACTGCCAACTGTCCCCCATAATAACTCGTAATTTTTCTTACGTAGATTTTGGTAACTTAACTCGTCAAAAATGAATAACCATAAATACCTTAAACTTAAATTTTTCTTACGTAGTATCATTATTTGTTATATATTGCTATGATTGATAAAAAAAAAATGTACATACGATGCTATTAAATTTATGGGTAAAGAATTTTAAGTTTTTGTTACATGTAGAAATGTAAGTACATTGTTACTACATTGCCTAGCCTATATCAGGTTTTAAAGAGTAAAATGCAATAAATACATATTGGAATGCAATCAAGTAGAAGGATAAAGCTCCCAAAGTGCCACAGTAGTGTCTTCAGATGCTGACACCATTTTTTTGCAATCTGCAGCAAATGAAATCGCATTGCACTGCAAAAACAAACCAACCATAAATAAAAATAAAAAATAAAAATATAATGACAGGTGGCATATACCGTGGCACGGTGATACTTTAATATCGCCAAAGGATTTCCTTTTTTGTAATTATATATTCTGATCCTGTCATCACATGAAAAAAAATATATAACTACAGTGTACTTTCATCATTTTATCGATTTAGCAACTAAACTATAATTTTTTTTTAGTGAATTTAGTTGCTGAAGAAGAAGTATGATTAGATTGTACTAACCTGTGATCCCAGCCAGCAGTCCCGAATATTTTACCATCTGCACGGATGGAAGTACCAGCTATGCCGGGTCGCTCCAAATTGATTTCTTTTTTCATCACGCAAGAACCCTAACGCATGAACAAAATTTAATTAATTATATCTACAAGATTAAAAAAATCTGAAACATTATATGAAAATTGAGATTCTTGAAACTTTTATGGGACAAATGGACAATGTTTTCATCAAATTAACAGATTTAAAGAATGATTAATAGAAACTTATATTAATATTAGATATGGCTTATGGGTTTTTTTCATAAATCATACCAATGAATGATCCAAAGTAAATAAGACAATTTTATCATCTGCACCTCCTGAAATGCCTCCGTTCATCATCTCATCCAGTGACAAGCTTAGAACTGGTGAATGTAGCAATTTATATGTTAGTAACAAACAATGTTTCATTTTATAACCAAAAGATGCAATATTTTACTAGATATGAATTTAACTGGTTGAAAAATATAAATTGGTAAAAGAAATAACAAAGTCCACACACCTGGTTCTGAATGAAACCTCACAGAAGTTAATGGAACCTCAGGATTCCTTAAATCCCACCAACCCATTGTTCCATCCTCATAACTGCATACATAAAACATAATCAGGACTTCTTCATATGTCATTTCAAGACAAGTTCATTTCCTGATTTCCTATAAACTTAAGTACAAACCCTGCTAAGACATGTAGAAATCCCTGTTGTTGAGGAACCAAAAAAGCTTCAACTGCCATGCACATACCTGTGGAAGTGAATATATGATATTAAATCATAATAATTTTTATCTCTAGTAATGAAATAATGTTGTATAGCTTAGGTACCTTTCCCTTTAGTAAATTGATTTGTGGAGGTAGTAGAAGAATGTGGTAACCTTGCAAACCTTTCTGCAGCATTGAGATCCCATAATTCAACCTTCCTTTTGATATTTCAAGTACACATCAGGAGAAAAGAAAAATAAATAAGAAAAATGAATTTGAGATCATCATGTTCATACCTCAGATAGCTCTGATCCAGCCATAGCCACATATGGACGCCCTTCCACATGGTCATAACCTGATAACAGAAATTTATATATATGTACTTCAATACAAACACATGTCATTACCCAAAAAAGAAAAAAGAACATTGGTCTACAATAGGAGAAAAGTACCTTGAAAGGTGTTGGAATTTTGTACCACATTCTCTGGATCCTCTTCTTGGATGTCATTAGAAATTATTTGATCATTATCTTCAATGGCTTCTGTCACATGATGAGGTCCCTTCTTTTCAGGTTTTATTGGGTTATCAGAAGGCGTCTTCACTAATGAAAGTTTGCAGAAATGATAGGTGTTTGCATCAATCCTGATGGAAGGTGTCCTGTCAATATTTTACATTAATCCCACAAAGATTCTAAACCATGTTGGCTGATTCAAGTGAGACAATTTCTGAATCTTTTTGTTGCTTAACAAGATTTTAGGATACCTTGACAATTCCCCATGCTCAATATCCCAACACTTAACAGTTCCATCCTTGCCCTGGCTATATTCATATGAAAACACATACTCAAAACATATTTAACACCGAAAAGTTCACTCTTGAAACTTGAGAATGTGAAATAAGGTAATAAGAACCTGAATACCTGATAACTCTATTGTTTCCAATTGAGGGACTGGTTGAAACACTTATAATCCCATGTGCTGCACTATGTACCCTGCATTAAATTCATAGGAAATATTTGAAGTTTGAACCCTGTACTTCTTTTTTCTCATTAAGTGTCGTCTAAATAAAGAGTTATGTTTGGGAAACAGAAGAAAAAAATATAAAGAAAGCAAACAACTTGTAGTGTATACCATGCAGATGAGATAGTTCGATGTTGTACGCTGTCCCAAATTCGTAATTCACCATCTGAAGAGCTGCAGTAAAAGTAAAACTCCCATGAAAACATGTAATGGTTGGCAATAGGGACATACTTCTAGCTACTTTAAAGATACTTTTTTTTAACAAATAGAAAAAGGAAAATACATACCCTGAGAATACCAAGTTTTGAGAAGGATGGAAACATACATCCATGACAGAAGCACGATGGCCTCTCAACACTGCCACTGGGTCAGGTGGTGGTCTCTTGCTCATCTTGATCACAATCCTGAATCCTGTCATTCAGACATAACATCAAACACCTTGCAGAGCTAATTTTGTTGGTGCTTAGCATACCAATCTAACCCATACAACACCAACCAAATGAAGGACTTTGAGATCAAAGCAACTTCTTTTTTGAAAATCTGATACCAACATTACTAAACGGTATTTATATAGTTTACCTAGACCATATTGCAAGAAGGAATTGACAAGAATAGCATATCATTTTGAGTGGTACAAGAAGGAGAAGAGCAAGTGGAAGAAAGTCACCAAGAACAACCAACCTAAAGGAATATAATATGGTTGCCAATAACTGAAAAAAACAATTTCATATCTAACTTCAAGAAAGGGTCTGTGCAAATCTTGGAAGGGTATAAACAAGAATAGGATATTAAGACTATCAAGTCTGCTTGAAATGCATTATGGCTTTCACTTCATGTGTTTAGAATGAATCAATGACAACCACCAAACTCATCACCCTTTCCTTTCTATCATTTTTAATGACCTTGCACATTATCCATGAAAAGAAACGTGATAAGTTTGGTGGTTGCCAAAGATTTGCATATAGCAGTAGCACCACTTCAAATATCTCACTGATCCCAATACAGATTGAAAGGTTTTATAATTTTAGAAAATCAATTTCCTATTTCAATCTCACACTTGGATAACTACTTGGTCATCCAAGAAAATAGTAGAAACAAAAGCTTCATTTTAATCGAATATCAGATAAGTTATTCTTTCTCTGGGGTTATCTTGGTGAAGCCTTGTTAAGATTGGGGCAAAAGTGCAAAACATTTGAGTTTCATGATAAGAGTTTAGCTAAGTACAGAAATCACCAAATACAAGTCGATTATTCTTTAGCAGTGATCTTTATGGTTACTAACAATCATGTTGGACTCCATAGGTTTATTTCTGAAAGAGGTGTACTCCTAATATCCATCCCCCATAAATATTCTAACTTGATCGACGGAAAATATACAATTTCTCGATTCGTACTTGGGTGTTCTTGAGGAGTTCCAGACTGGGATCAGCAATATAAACAACGGTAGTTCAAACCTAACTACAAGAAGTTGAAGAATGAAGAATTATGAGATGATGGATGTACCTTTTGAGAGGAAGGGCCGATACCTAGAGGGTTTGATGAAGACGAAGAACCAGGCCCCGCACACGCGGCCCCACCCGTGACCAACTCCCTCGCTTGAAGCCTCGAATGATCGCGTCTGGCCGTCTGCCTTCTGCCTTCGCGTGTGGACTGTGGACTGATCGATCTATCTTTGCATTTTTTTTTTTCACCTCCATCTCTAATTAATTTT